AATTCGGATTCGGGTTATATAGGGGTCAGAGTCAAGTCAGAGTCGAGGCAGTATGAGTTCGGGAATACGTTTTAAAATTTTCGTGAAATTGTTAACGGATTTCGGTTGAAAAATCCGTTAAAAAATTTCAACGGATTTCGGTTGAAAATTCCGTTGAAAAATATCAACGGATTTCGGTTGAAAATTCCGTTGAAAAAATTCAACGAATAATTCCGTTGAAATTTCGTTGATATTTTCAACGGTTTTCAACGAATAATTTTTTTCAACGACGATATTGCAACGGAATTTATCCGTTGAGAATCCGTTGAAATTGTATAATTTTAACGGATTTTAGACCATTTTCAACGGATTTATCCTTTGAAATTGACATGTTTTTTTGTCGTGATTATCTAACTTATCATACTCCTCCATCATGTTCGCAACATCGTCATCGTTCACGACGAGATTAAAGTATCAAGATCCTCATCCGGTTGCTCGTACTTCAGTACTGTGGTGTCATCATAAAGCTCTCTCATCTTGTTCGTCAGCTCCTCGTACTGGATATCTTTCGGGATGCTCACGATCCGTGTCTCTCCGCCTACGTTCCTCAATTTCCCATGTTGGGGATGGGGTAATATATTGCCCAAGAAGCTACATAGAAACTTCACACGGTGGGGCTCGTCAGTCGAGCTAGCGGTCGGGCTAGAGACAGAAGGTGAGTTCACCGAACCAATATCCATGGGGAATCTTCCAGTGTGGTTACTGTCGTGTTCTTGATCGCACGTTGGCTTATTACACATGGGGATTCAAACTCGACGACCGAGTGATTTCCACACTGCAGTATTAGAATATATATGTAGTTAAATGTTAATTTGGTTTAATGTTGGTTTGGTTTAATTTGTTTTGGTTTAGTTTGGTTAGAGTTTCTCTTTCTCTTCTACTACTATTTGTATTTACAAAACCTATAATGAATAAATGAACAATACAAGAAAACATTTTCCCAAAATCTCTCTGATTCTGAAATATCAAAATGGTATGAGGCCTTTGAGATCCTTTTTTTTCCGCTAATTTCTTCTTCTTTGTTCTTGTTTGTTTTCTGATTTGAATTCATTTTTCTCTTGATTTTGAAATTTCAAAATGGAACAAGATAGAGAAGAGGATGACGACGATGATAGTGATATTGCTCACCAACTGTTTGATAAAATTCTCCATCTTTCATCTTCTCTTTGTTCCTCCATTTTTTTTCCAGATTCGAATTTCTTTCCATATTCTTCAGTTTTTAGTCTTCGTTTTCTTGTCTATACGCTTTCTCCCTCTTTTCTTTTTATTTCTAAGATCTGTAGGGTGGTTCTTTGAAGCTTTGAAACCCTAAAAACGATCCTTTATCTTAAAATAGAGGAAGAGTTTAATCTCTCTATTTGCTTCCTCTTCAATCTTCCTTCTATTCTCTAGAAATCTGATTTTTTTTCCTCTTTCTAAATCTTCTTGCTAGTCTTCCTCCTCAGTTTTCTCCTTCTTCCGGTTCAAATGACAGCATCCGTGCTTGTTTCTGATTTTTTTTTTCCTACTTGGTCTTCTCTATCTTCTTCTTCTTCTTCTTCAAAATTTTTCCGGTAATGCTTGAACGGAAATCCTAAACACTATGGGTTTTTCCTCCTTTCTTCAACTTTTAGAGAAAATCTTCGCTTTTCTCGTCTCTCTTGGAGAAATCAATCTAATCTCTCTCTTTCTTATTCAAATCTTTTCTCCTTTCCATTCCTTTCTTTACTCTCATCTTTTTCTCCTTTTTGAAATCTCTCTTTCTATGGTTCTCATCCCTTTCCATGAAATTTCTCGTCATTTGATAAATCTTTTGCATTCTCTCTCTTTTGCAGCTTGCTCGAGCCGATAGTGTTTCCTCTCCTGAGGCCATCTTTGCGGGCTCGTTTATATTTTTCGTACCCTCAATCCATCTTTCTTCTTCTATGTTTTTTTTCCTCCTCTGTTTCTATCATTTCTATGGCGTTTTCGCCTTTTTGACGATCAAGTTCCGACTCTGGCACCAATACGCTTGCTCTACTGGCTTGTGCTTTACCGTTCGGCTTGGGTCTCGGCTACGGGAATGTGATGTTCAAGATTTTAAAGATACAAATGAAGCCACATGAGAAAGCTGTATGTGGTCTTTGTTTGTATTTGTCCAAGATGAAAGTTCATCACTCTCATCTTGAGAGGGTGTATTAGAATATATATGTAGTTAAATGTTAATTTGGTTTAATGTTGGTTTGGTTTAATTTGTTTTGGTTTAGTTTGGTTAGAGTTTCTCTTTCTCTTCTATTATTTGTATTTAAGGAACCTATGATGAATGAATGAACAATACAAGAAAACATTTTCCCAAAATCTCTCAGATTCTGAAATATCAAAATGCAGTTCAATCGTTTCTCCATTTACACGCTGCAGGAAAAATGCGCCGGAAGCATCAGAATCTCCATGAAACAGACATGAATGCACAAATCAATTGTCGTCTCAAAGTATCAAAGGCGGCGCCAATTGGATAGAATAAAAACATACTCTGCGATCGATTGACAATCATCCCCAAAACAGAAGAAATGAACTGCTACCTGATTAATCGGGATAAATGAAGGTGAATGACCGGAAACTCTAATCCAAAAATCCCTACTCTGGCCCAGAAATCCTGAAATCCGGCTCCCCCACCTCCGATTTCCTTGTATGACTTTTCCCGGATTGAATGTTTCAGGCGAGAGTTTTTTTTTTATAATCCGGAAGTTCACCGGGCCTTTGGCCCAACTACATCTCCCAGACGACCGGAGCAGCCCATGTGAAAACCCCTCCCCAACCAGGAATCGAACCGCCAACCTCTGAGTGCTTTACACCCAGTTGCCGACCACTCGCCCACAAGCTGTTGGGTTTCAGGCGAGAGTTGAATCTCCACCAACGCATATATACAAAGATATATAGATAAACCGGGAGAAAAATTAAACTGATGAGAGAAACCCTGTGAAGGGATTCACTACAAAAAAAATGGTCATTTCCAACGGGTAAATCCGTTGGAAATGGCCAAATTTCCGTTGGAAATTAACGTTTCCAACGGATTTCCAACGGATTTATCCGTTGGAATTTCGTTGTTAGAAATCGGTGTCCGTTGGAAAACCGTTGGAATTTTCAACGGCGTTTCAACGACGATTTCCGTTAAAATTCCGTTGAAAATTTCCAACGGGTTTCCGTTGGAAACACCCGTTGGAAATTTTTAACGGAATTTTCAACGTATTCAATTGAAAAATTGGATTGAAAATTTCCAACGAATTTCGAACCGATATCCGTTGGAATTTTCCAACGAAAAATTCGAAACATATTTCCAACCCGACCCGACCCCGACCCCGACCCCGACACCAACCCGACCCGACCCGACACTGACATCGACACCAATCCGATCCGACCACACCACGATCCCGAA